ACAGAAACGTTACTTAGGGCCACAGAATTTACTTACTGGAGGCCACAGAAAACGTTACTTAGGGCCACAGAAACTGTTACTTAGGGCCACAGAATTGTTACTTAGGGACACACAGAATTGTTACTCAGGGACAGACACAGAATTGTTACTGAGGGATACAGAATTGTTACTGAGGGCCACAGAAACGTTACTTAGGGCCACAGAAACGTTACTTAGGGCCACAGAAACGTTACTTAGGGCCACAGAATTGTTACTTAGGGACAGACACAGAATTGTTACTGAGGGACACAGAATTGTTACTGAGGGCCACAGAACCGTTACTTAGGGCCACAGAAACGTTACTTGTTACTGGGGACACAGAACTTGTTACTCAGGGACACAGAATTGTTACAGACACAGAATTGTTACTGAGGGACACAGAATTGTTACTGAGGGCCACACAGAATTGTTACTTAGGGCCACAGAAACGTTACTTAGGGCCACAGAAACTTTACTTAGGGCTACAGAAAATTGTTACTGAGGGCCACAGAATTGTTTACTTAGGGCCACAGAATTGTTACTTAGGGCCACAGAAACGTTACTTAGGGACACAGAAACGTTACTTAGGGACACAGAATTGTTACTCAGGGACAGACACAGAATTGTTACTGAGGGACACAGAATTGTTACTGAGGGACACAGAATTGTTACTTAGGGCCACAGAAAATGTTACTTAGGGACACAGAATTGTTACTCAGGGACAGACACAGAATTGTTACTCAGGGACACAGAATTTGTTACTGAGGGACACAGAATTGTTACTGAGGGACACAGAATTGTTACTCAGGGACACAGAATTGTTACTCAGGGACACAGAATTGTTACTGAGGGACACAGAATTGTTACTCAGGGACAGACACAGAATTGTTACTCAGGGACAGACACAGAATTGTTACTCAGGGACAGACACAGAATTGTTACTGAGGGACACAGAATTGTTACTGAGGGCACACAGAATTGTTACTTAGGGCACAGAGAAACGTTACTCAGGGACACAGAATTGTTACTCAGAGGACAGACACAGAATTGTTACTCAGGGACAGACACAGAATTGTTACTGAGGGACACACAGAATTGTTACTGAGGGACACAGAATTGTTACTGAGGGACACAGAAATGTTACTTAGGGCCACAGAAACGTTGTTACTCAGGGACACAGAATTGTTACTCAGGGACAGACACAGAATTGTTACTCAGGGACACAGAATCGTTTAATTAAAGAGTATGTCAGACAACATGCAGAGGAGTGGCAGAGGAGGCAATGTTTTAGGAGCGAGCAGACGTGGCAGCAGAGGAAGGGGTCGAGGCAGCACTATAGTCGCAGCCAGAGGCCAGTGCTCCCGGTGTCATCCAGCGGTCGTGTCTCCACCGACAACCCTGCCGTCATCATTGGTTGGCTCGGTCGTCTTCCTCTTCCCAGGTCACCTCTGACACCTACAGCCAACGGTCGGTATGGGGTACGTCAGACACAACAACCGTTAGTTGGCATGGCCCGGGAGCAAGCCCACTGAAATCACGTGTCCTCTACCTGCCCCTGTCCTTTGGTGTTCCCTCACCAAGCGAAGTATCGCATGCTGTGGGCTCAGCCCCACTGTACAGTGAGGAAGAGCTAACAGAGGGCGGTCAGGAACGGGGGGAGACATCCGCCTCTTCAGCAGCCAGGCGAAGAAGAAGTAGTGGCGAGGAGAGTGGCTCGGTAGCCGGTCTAGAGACAGGTCTGTCTCCTGACCCACACGCAGCCGAGGGGGCTAGTAGTGAGGCGGAGACCCACCTAATTGATGATGATGAGAGGCTGATCGCACTTGGCAGCCTCGTCGTCATCAGGCTATTGCTTCCGCATCATCAGGAGAAGAGGTGGCAGCTTGGCAGCGAGCAAAACAGTCGGTGGGTTTGCCCAGGAGGCAGCAGGGTCGCAGCAGTGTCAGTGGAGGCAAACGGCCACGGAGATACAGCACCAGCTCCACTGCAGCCTACCACCACGGCCAGTAGTGGTGCCGGTGTGCACGGAGGAAGCAGCAGTCAGCCAGTGAGGAGTATCGGGGGCAAAGTTTCCTACTCGGCGGTGTGGCAATTTTTTTGTCAAGCCGCCCCGAGGAAGTAAACGTAGCCGTATGTCGACTATGTGGCCAGAAAGTCAAGCGTGGCCAGGGGGCCCATGTTTGGGACTACAGCGTTGCGGCAGCATATGCAGCGTCGCCATTTGGTGGCCTGGGAAAACCGTGATAAAGATACGGCGGTTCTGCCCGCCCCAGCCCCCGCTCCATCACCCGCTCCGTTACTTGCTCCGTCACCCGACGTCAATCGCCCTCTATCAGCCCAGTCAAGGCTCCAACACCTCTGCTGAGGGGAGAGTTGTCGCTCGTTGGCATCTTCTTCCGCTCGTTCAGATGCTCCTTCTCCTGCTACTCTCTCACGGATTCCGTCAGCAGTCTTTCTTGGAATCCGTTTCCAAGAGACAACAGTTTGCGAGCACGCACCCGCACCCCCGTGGTGCAAAAGCTGAACGTCCTCCTGTCCAAGTTGCTGGTGCTGCAGTCCCTCCCTTTCCAAGTGGTGGACTCAGCACCTTTCCGAGAAATGATGGCTTGTGCCGCGCCGCGGTGGAGAGTGCCAAGCCGTCATTTCTTCGCCAAAAAGGCAGTGCCAGCCAGCCCTGCATTCACATGTAGAAGAGATGGTGGGCCAGTCTTTGAGCATGTCGGTCTCTGCCAAAGTGCACGGCAGCGCCGACGTGTGGAGCTGTAACTACGGTCAGGGACAGTACATGTCATTTACGGCCCACTGGGTGAACGTGGTGCCGTCACAGCCGCACCAGCAACTTGGACAGGTCACGCCGCTTTTGCCTCCACGTTTGCACGTCCTTGGTCCACAAAAGATGTCCGCCTCTACCACCTCTTCTTCTTCCCTTCGTGTCCTCAGCCGCCACCCCCGTGCCAAGTCCCATTACCCGACCGGCATATCACATGTGCAGGGCGCAACGGTGTCACGCTGTGCTGCACCTGGTATGCCTTGGCGAACGTAGTCACACAGGGGAGGAACTTCTCAGTGTAATGAACAGAGAAATCGACAGATGGCTGTCTCCGCGCAAACTGAAAATCGGAACCATGTTGACCGACAACGGAAAGAACATGGTGTCTGCTCTGCGTCAAGGAAGGTTGTGCCATGCGCGCCATGCATGGCTCACGTGTTCAATCTGGTTGTCAAGCGGTTCCTAAAATCCACCATCCCACTGCAAGACATCCTTAAAATGTCACGTAAACTTTGCATGCATTTCAGCCATTCCTACACCGCAAAGCACACCCTCCTTGAGCTGCAGCGGCAGAACGGAATTCCACAGCATCGCCTGATCTGCGACGTTGCAACAAGGTGGAATTCAACCCTACAACCCTACACATGTTAGACCGCCTTTACGAACAGCGAAAGGCCATCACCGATTTCCTGATGTTACAAGCGGATAAAGGTACTCCCCTGTGTAACTTCGATGTCAGCCATTGGCAGCTCATGCGTGACACCTGCCGCTTGCTCAGGCCCTTTGAGGAGGCCACGCTATTCGTGAGTCGGCAGGACTATGGGATGAACGACGTCATTCCTCTGTTGCACGTCCTGGAACAAATGCTGTTAACAATGGCTGGTCAGGGTGCGGTAGACGTGGCGCACAGATCTCAACGCCACATGACCCCTGTGGGGGCAGGACAGGAAGAAGAGGAGGAGGTAGAGGAGGACATTGTGCTCAGGAATTATTGAGTGAAATGGGTGGTGGTTTTTCCACTCAGCGGACAGGAGTGGAGGAGCAGGAGCATCTGGTAGAGGAGGAGGAGGAGACAGAGGACCCAGACGCACCGTGGCAGTATGCTGTGGAGATGGAGGCAGGGAGTCCCTCGCATTCCTTGGCACAAATGGCCCATAGCATGCTCGGTTGCTTGCGTAGCGACAGCCGAATAATAACCATCAGACAGAGGGATGACTTTTGGCTGTCCACCTTGTTGGACCCTCGCTACCGTTCAAAAATGGTGGCCTTTTTCACACCTGCTGAGAGGGAGGCCAAAATAACGTACTATAAAAACCACCTATGTAGTCAGTTGGTCTCTGCCTTTGTGCGCCAACGTCCATCCTCAGACACTGTGGGCCCTGTGCGCTCGCGTTCCGCTGCCATGGCAGCAGGGGAGGGGTGGGGTGGTAGGAGCAGTGGCAGCTCCACCAGCAGCGGCTGCCTCAGTCTGCAGTCGATGATGAGTAGCTTTCTTCACCAGCGCAGTGAGGAAACTACTAACCAGCCGCAGCAGCAGCAGCATCAGGTGGACCTGGAGCAGGACCTCAAACAACAGGCTTGGGCCTACTTGGACAGCACCCTGCCAACCGAGGTAGACAATCCCCTTGACTACTGGGCAACGAAACTTGACCTTTGGCCCCAACTAGCTGAATTTGCCCCTTGAAAGGCTGTCATGCCCGGCCAGTAGCGTGGCATCGGAGCGCGTGTTTAGTGCGGCAGGAGGTATTGTAACTCCGCGGAGGACACGACTGTCCACCCAAAGTGTGGAGAGACTCACGTTTGTGAAAATGAATCAGGCGTGGATTAGTCTGGATTTCAAACCACCAGTTCCTGACACAACTGACTAAATCCGCCATGAATCATGCCCCTGCCATGTGCCACTTTCAGGTCTCCTCACACTGCTGGTGTGTTCCATTTTTTGTCATAGGGTGCTGGCAGATTACGGGCCTCCCATAGCTGCTGCCAGGCCCCTAATCTGCCATGGGCCCCTATACCGCCTCCTCATGCTGCTGCCAGCCAGAGTCATGGGTCCCTGTACGGCCTCCCATTGCATCCATGCCATGTGCCACTTTCAGGTCTCCTCACACTGCTGGTGTGTTCAATTTTTTGACATAGGGTGCTGGCAGATTACGGGCCTCTCCCATAGCTGCTGCCAGGCCCCTAATCTGCCATGGGCCCCTATACCGCCTCCTCATGCTGCTGCCAGTCCAGAGTCTCTCATGGGTCCCTGTACGGCCTCCCATTGCTGCTGTCTCCATCGCCACACTCTGCCATGTGCCACTTTCAGGTCTCCTCACACACTGCTGGTGTGTTCAATTTTTTGACATAGGGTGCTGGCAGATTACGGGCCTCCCATAGCTGCTGCCAGGCCCCTAATCTGCCATGGGCCCCTATACCGCCTCCTCATGCTGCTGCCAGTCCAGAGTCTCAGAGTCATGGGTCCCTGTGTACGGCCTCCCATTGCTGCTGTCTCTCCATCGCCACACTCTGCCATGTGCCACTTTCAGGTCTCCTCACACACTGCTGTGTGTGTTCAATTTTTTGACATAGGGTGCTGGCAGATTACGGGCCTCCCATATGCTGCTGCCAGGCCCCTAATCTGCCATGGGCCCCTATACCCGCCTCCTCATGCTGCTGCCAGGTCCAGAGTCATGGGTCCCTGCTACGCCTCCCAGCTGCTGTCTCCATCGTGCCACACTCTGCCATGTGCCACTTTCAGGTCTCCTCACACTGCTGGTGTGTGTTCCATTTTTTGTCATAGGGTGCTGGCAGATTACGGGCCTCCCATAGCTGCTGCCAGGCCCCTAATCTGCCATGGGCCCCTATACCGCCTCCTCATGCTGCTGCCAGTCCAGAGTCTCTCATGGGTCCCTGTACGGCCTCCCATTGCTGCTGTCTCCATCGCCACACTCTGCCATGTGCCACTTTCAGGTCTCCTCACACACTGCTGGTGTGTTCAATTTTTGTCATAGGGTGCTGGCAGATTACGGGCCTCCCATAGCTGCTGCCAGGCCCCTAATCTGCCATGGGCCCCTATACCGCCCTCCTCATGCTGCTGCCAGGTCCAGAGTCTCTCATGGGTCCCTGTACGGCCTCCCATTGCTGCTGTCTCCATCGCCACACTCTGCCATGTGCCACTTTCAGGTCTCCTCACACTGCTGGTGTGTTCCATTTTTTGACATAGGGTGCTGGCAGATTACGGGCCTCCCATAGCTGCTGCCCAGGCCCCTAATCTGCCATGGGCCCCTGTACCGCCTCCTCATGCTGCTGCTGCCAGGTCCACATGTCTCATCCATGTGCCACTTTCAGGTCTCCTCACACTGCTGGTGTGTTCCATTTTTTTGTCATAGGGTGCTGGCAGATTACGGGCCTCCCATAGCTGCTGCCAGGCCCCTAATCTGCCATGGGCCCCTATACCGCCTCCTCATGCTGCTGCCAGTCCAGAGTCTCTCATGGGTCCCTGTACGGCCTCCCATTGCTGCTGTCTCCATCGCCACACTCTGCCATGTGCCACTTTCAGGTCTCCTCACACTGCTGGTGTGTTTCCATTTTTTGACATAGGGTGCTGGCAGATTACGGGCCTCCCATAGCTGCTGCTGCCAGGCCCCTAATCTGCCATGGGCCCCTGTACCGCCTCCTCATGCTGCTGCCAGGTCCAGAGTCTCTCATGGTCCCTGTACGGCCTCCCATTGCTGCTGTCTCCATCGCCACACTCTGCCATGTGCCACTTTCAGGTCTCCTCACACTGCTGGTGTGTTCCATTTTTTGTCATAGGGTGCTGGCAGATTACGGGCCTCCCATAGCTGCTGCCAGGCCCCTAATCTGCCATGGGCCCCTATACCGCCTCCTCATGCTGCTGCTGCCAGGTCCAGAGTCTCTCATGGGTCCCTGTACGGCCTCCCATTGCTGCTGTCTCCATCGCCACACTCTGCCATGTGCCACTTTCAGTCTCCTCACACACTGCTGTGTTTCAATTTTTTGACATAGGGTGCTGGCAGATTACGGGCCTCCCATAGCTGCTGCCAGGCCCCTAATCTGCCATGGGCCCCTGTACCGCCTCCTCATGCTGCTGCCAGGTCCAGAGTCTCTCATGCCCTGTACGGTCCACATTGCTGCTGTCTCCATGCCATGCCATGTGCCACTTTCAGGTCTCCTCACACTGCTGGTGTGTTCAATTTTTTGTCATAGGGTGCTGGCAGATTACGGGCCTCCCATAGCTGCTGCCAGGCCCCTAATCTGCCATGGGCCCCTATACCGCCTCCTCATGCTGCTGCCAGTCCAGAGTCTCTCATGGGTCCCTGTACGGCCTCCCCCATTGCTGCTGTCTCCATCGCCACACTCTGCCATGTGCCACTTTCAGGTCTCACTCACACACTGCTGGTGTGTTCCATTTTTTGTCATAGGGTGCTGGCAGATTACGGGCCTCCCATAGCTGCTGCCAGGCCCCTAATCTGCCATGGGCCCCTAACCGCCTCCTCATGCTGCTGCCAGGTCCTCATGGGTCCCTGTACGGCCCTCCCATTGCTGCTGCATGCCATCGCCACACTCATGCCATGTGCCACTTTCAGGTCTCCTCACACTGCTGGTGTGTTCCATTTTTTTGTCATAGGGTGCTGGCAGATTACGGGCCTCCCATAGCTGCTGCCAGGCCCCTAATCTGCCATGGGCCCCTATACCGCCTCCTCATGCTGCTGCCAGGTCCAGAGTCTCTCATGGGTCCCTGTACGGCCTCCCATTGCTGCTGCTCTCCAATCGCCACACTCTGCCATGTGCCACTTTCAGGTCTCCTCACACACTGCTGGTGTGTGTTTCCATTTTTTGACATAGGGTGCTGGCAGATTACGGGCCTCCCATAGCTGCTGCCAGGCAGGGCCCCTAATCTGCCATGGGCCCCTATACCGCCTCCTCATGCTGCTGCCAAGTGCTGCTGCCAGTACGTCCATTGCAGTCCCATCGCCTCATGCCATGTGCCACACTTTACTTTCAGGTCTCCTCACACTGCTGGTGTGTTCCATTTTTTGTCATAGGGTGCTGGCAGATTACGGGCCTCCCATAGCTGCTGCCAGGCCCCTAATCTGCCATGGGCCCCTATACCGCCTCCTCATGCTGCTGCCAAGTCCAGAGTCTCTCTCATGGGTCCCTGTACGGCCTCCCATTGCTGCTGCTGTCTCCATCGCCACACTCTGCCATGTGCCACTTTCAGGTCTCCTCACACACTGCTGGTGTGTTCAATTTTTGACATAGGGTGCTGGCAGATTACGGGCCCTCCCATAGCTGCTGCTGCCAGGCCCCTAATCTGCCATGGGCCCCTATACCGCCTCCTCATGCTGCTGCCAGGTCCAGAGTCTCTCATGGGTCCCTGTACGGCCTCCCATTGCTGCTGTCTCCATCGCCACACTCTGCCATGTGCCACTTTCAGGTCTCTCCTCACACACTGCTGGTGTGTTCCATTTTTTCATAGGGTGCTGGCAGATTACGGGCCTCCCATAGCTGCTGCCAGGCCCCTAATCTGCCATGGGCCCCTGTACCGCCTCCTGCATGCTGCTCTCATGCCAGGTCCCATTGCTGCTGTCTCATCCACACTCTGCCATGTGCCACTTTCAGGTCTCCTCACACTGCTGGTGTGTTCCAATTTTTTGTCATAGGGTGCTGGCAGATTACGGGCCTCCCATAGCTGCTGCCAGGCCCCTAATCTGCCATGGGCCCCTATACCGCCTCCTCATGCTGCTGCCAGTCCAGAGTCTCTCATGGGTCCCTGTACGGCCTCCCATTGCTGCTGTCTCCATCGCCACACTCTGCCATGTGCCACTTTCAGGTCTCCTCACACACTGCTGGTGTGTTCCAATTTTTTGACATAGGGTGCTGGCAGATTACGGGCCTCCCATAGCTGCTGCCAGGCCCCTAATCTGCCATGGGCCCCTGTACCGCCTCCTCATGCTGCTGCTGCCAGGTCCACAGTGTCTCATGCCATGTGCCACTTTCAGGTCTCCCTCACACTGCTGGTGTGTCCTCACATGCTTTTTTTTTTGACATAGGGTGCTGGCAGATTACGGGCCTCCCATAGCTGCTGCCAGGCCCCTAATCTGCCATGGGCCCCTATATACCGCCTCCTCATGCTGCTGCCAGTCCAGAGTCTCTCATGGGTCCCTGTACGGCCTCCCATTGCTGCTGTCTCCATCGCCACACTCTGCTGCCATGTGCCACTTTCAGGTCTCCTCACACACTGCTGGTGTGTTCCATTTTTTTGACATAGGGTGCTGGCAGATTACGGGCCTCCCATAGCTGCTGCCAGGCCCCTAATCTGCCATGGGCCCCTGTACCGCCTCCTCATGCTGCTGCCAGGTCCAGAGTCTCTCATGGGTCCCTGTACGGCCTCCCATCTCATGCCATGTGCCACTTTCAGGTCTCCTCACACTGCTGGTGTGTTCCATTTTTTGTCATAGGGTGCTGGCAGGCAGATTACGGGCCTCCCATAGCTGCTGCCAGGCCCCTAATCTGCCATGGGCCCCTATACCGCCTCCTCATGCTGCTGCCCCAGTCCAGAGTCTCTCATGGGTCCCTGTACGGCCTCCCATTGCTGCTGTCTCCATCGCCACACTCTGCCATGTGCCACTTTCAGGTCTCCTCACACACTGCTGGTGTGTTCAATTTTTTGACATAGGGTGCTGGCAGATTACGGGCCTCCCATAGCTGCTGCCCAGGCCCCTAATCTGCCATGGGCCCCTGTACCCCCTCCTCATGCTGCTGCCAGGTCCAGAGTCTCTCATGGGTCCCTGTACGGCCTCCATTGCTGCTGTCTCACATCGCCACACTCTGCCATGTGCCACTTTCAGGTCTCCTCACACTGCTGGTGTGTTCCATTTTTTTGTCATAGGGTGCTGGCAGATTACGGGCCTCCCATAGCTGCTGCCAGGCCCCTAATCTGCCATGGGCCCCTATATACCGCCTCCTCATGCTGCTGCCAAGTCCAGAGTCTCTCATGGGTCCCTGTACGGCCTCCCATTGCTGCTGTCTCCATCGCCACACTCTGCCATGTGCCACTTTCAGGTCTCCTCACACACTGCTGGTGTGTTTCCATTTTTTTGACATAGGGTGCTGGCAGATTACGGGCCTCCCATAGCTGCTGCCAGGCCCCTAATCTGCCATGGGCCCCTGTACCGCCTCCTCATGCTGCTGCCAGGTCCACAGTGTCTCATGGGTCCCTGTACGGCCACCCATTGCTGCTGTCTCCATCGCCACACTGCCATGTGCCACTTTCAGGTCTCCTCACACTGCTGGTGTGTTTCATTTTTTGTCATAGGGTGCTGGCAGATTACGGGCCTCCCATAGCTGCTGCCAGGCCCCTAATCTGCCATGGGCCCCTATACCGCCTCCTCATGCTGCTGCCAGGTCCAGAGTCTCTCATGGGTCCCTGTACGGCCTCCCATTGCTGCTGTGTCTCCATCGCCACACTCTGCCATGTGCCACTTTCAGGTCTCCTCACACTGCTGGTGTGTTCCATTTTTTTGACATAGGGTGCTGGCAGATTACGGGCCTCCCATAGCTGCTGCCAGGCCCCTAATCTGCCATGGGCCCCTGTACCGCCTCCTCATGCTGCTGCCCAAGTCCAGAGTCTGTCTCAGGGTCCCTGTACAGTGCTCTCCATGCCATGTGCCATTTTTCAGGTCTCCTCACACTGCTGGTGTGTTCCATTTTTTGACATAGGGTGCTGGCAGATTACGGGCCTCCCATAGCTGCTGCCAGGCCCCCCTAATCTGCCATGGGCCCCTACCGCCCGCCTCCTCATGCTGCTGCCAGGTCCAGAGTCTCTCATGGGTCCCTGTACGGCCTCCCATTGCTGCTGTCTCCATCGCCACACTCTGCCATGTGCCACTTTCAGGTCTCCTCACACACTGCTGGTGTGTTTCCCATTTTTTGACATAGGGTGCTGGCAGATTACGGGCCTCCCATAGCTGCTGCCAGGCCCCTAATCTGCCATGGGCCCCTGTATTCTGCCTCCTCCCATGCATGCTGCTGCCAGGTCCACAGTGTCTCATGCCATGTGCCACTTTCAGGTCTCCTCACACTGGTGGTGTGTTCCAATTTTTTGTCACATAGGGTGCTGGCAGATTACGGGCCTCCCATAGCTGCTGCCAGGCCCCTAATCTGCCATGGGCCCCTATACCGCCCCCTCATGCTGCTGCCAAGTCCAGAGTCTCTCATGGGTCCCTGTACGGCCTCCCATTGCTGCTGTCTCCATCGCCACACTCTGCCATGTGCCACTTTCAGGTCTCCACACACACTGCTGGTGTGTTCCATTTTTTTGACATAGGGTGCTGGCAGATTACGGGCCTCCCATAGCTGCTGCCAGGCCCCTAATCTGCCATGGGCCATGGCCCCCTGTACCCAGGCCTCCTCATGCTGCCCTGCCAGGTCCACAGTGCTGTCCATCATGCCATGTGCCACTTTCAGGTCTCCTCACACTGCTGGTGTGTGTTCCATTTTTTTGTCATAGGTGCTGGCAGATTACGGGCCTCCCATAGCTGCTGCCAGCCAGGCCCCCTAATCTGCCATGGGCCCCTATACCGCCTCCTCATGCTGCTGCCAGTCCAGAGTCTCTCATGGGTCCCCCTGTACGGCCTCCCATTGCCCATTGCTGCTGTCTCCATCGCCACACTCTGCCATGTGCCACTTTCAGGTCTCCTCACACACACTGGTGTGTTTCAATTTTTTGTCATAGGGTGCTGGCAGATTACGGGCCTCCCATAGCTGCTGCCAGGCCCCTAATCTGCCATGGGCCCCTGTACCGCCTCCTCATGCTGCTGCCAGGTCCAGAGTCCACAGTGTCCTGTACGGCCTCCCCCATTGCTGTGCCCATCGCCACACTCTGCCATGTGCCACTTTCAGGTCTCCTCACACTGCTGGTGTGTTCCATTTTTTTGTCATAGGGTGCTGGCAGATTACGGGCCTCCCATATAGCTGCTGCCAGGCCCCTAATCTGCCATGGGCCCCTATAACCGCCCTCCTCATGCTGCTGCCAGCCAAGTCCAGAGTCTCTCAGGGTCCCTGTACGGCCTCCCATTGCTGCTGTCTCCATCGCCACACTCTGCCATGTGCCACTTTCAGGTCTCCTCACACACTGCTGGTGTGTTCCATTTTTTGACATAGGGTGCTGGCAGATTACGGGCCTCCCATAGCTGCTGCCAGGCCCCTAATCTGCCATGGGCCCCTGTACCGCCTCCTCATGCTGCTGCTGCTGCCAGGTCCACAGTGTCTCTGCATGTGTCCCTGTACGGCCTCCCATTGCTGCTGTCTCCATCGCCACACTCTGCCATGTGCCACTTTCAGGTCTCCTCACACACTGCTGGTGTGTTCCATTTTTTTTTGTCATAGGGTGCTGGCAGATTACGGGCCTCCCATAGCTGCTGCCAGGCCCCTAATCTGCCATGGGCCCCTATACCGCCTCCTCATGCTGCTGCTGCCAAGGTCCAGAGTCTCTCATGGGTCCCTGTACGGCCTCCCATTGCTGCTGCTGTCTCCATCGCCACACTCTGCCATGTGCCACTTTCAGGTCTCCTCACACACTGCTGGTGTGTTCCATTTTTGTCATAGGGTGCTGGCAGATTACGGGCCTCCCATAGCTGCTGCCCAGGCCCCTAATCTGCCATGGGCCCCTGTACCGCCTCCTCCTCATCCTGCTGCCAAGTCATGCTGCTGGGTCCCTGTAGGTCCACAGTGCTGCTCTCCATCGCCACTCTCTGCCATGTGCCACTTTCAGGTCTCCTCACACTGCTGGTGTGTTCCATTTTTTGTCATAGGGTGCTGGCAGATTACGGGCCTCCCATAGCTGCTGCCAGGCCCCCCTAATCTGCCATGGGCCCCTATACCGCCTCCTCATGCTGCTGCCAGGTCCAGAGTCTCTCATGGGTCCCTGTACGGCCTCCTCCATTGCTGCTGTCTCCATCGCCACACTCTGCCATGTGCCACTTTCAGGTCTCCTCACACTGCTGGTGTTTTCCAATTTTTTTTTGACATAGGGTGCTGGCAGATTACGGGCCTCCCATAGCTGCTGCCAGGCCCCTAATCTGCCATGGGCCCCTATACCGCCTCTCATGCTGCTGCCAGGTCCAGAGTCTCTCATGGGTCCCTGTACGGCCTCCCATTGCTGCTGTCTCCATCGCCACACTCTGCCATGTGCCACTTTCAGGTCTCCTCACACACTGCTGGTGTGTTCCATTTTTTTGTCATAGGGTGCTGGCAGATTACGGGCCTCCCATAGCTGCTGCCAGGCCCCTAATCTGCCATGGGCCCCTGTACCGCCTCCTCATGCTGCTGCATGCTCCAGCTCTCAGGTGTACCCCATGCTGCTGTCTCATGCCACACTCTGCCATGTGCCACTTTCAGGTCTCCTCACACTGCTGGTGTTTCCATTTTTTGTCATAGGGTGCTGGCAGATTACGGGCCTCCCATAGCTGCTGCCAGGCCCCTAATCTGCCATGGGCCCCTATACCGCCTCCTCATGCTGCTGCCAAGGTCCAGAGTCTCTCATGGGTCCCACGTGCCATTGCTGCTGTCATCGCCACACTCTGCCATGTGCCACTTTCAGGTCTCCTCACACTGCTGGTGTGTTCCATTTTTTTTGACATAGGGTGCTGCAGATTACGGGCCTCCCATAGCTGCTGCCTGCCAGGCCCTAATCTGCCATGGGCCCCTATACCCAACCGCCTCCTCATGCTGCTGCCAGGTGCCAAGTCCAGAGTCTCTCATGGGTCCCTGTACGGCCTCCCATTGCTGCTGTCTCCATCGCCACACACTCTGCCATGTGCCACTTTCAGGTCTCCTCACACACTGCTGGTGTGTTCCATTTTTTGTCACATAGGGTGCTGGCAGATTACGGGCCTCCCATAGCTGCTGCCAGCCCCCTAATCTGCCATGGGCCCCTATGTACCGCCTCCTCATGCTGCTGCCCATCCAGTGTCTGCTGCCCTGTAGCGGCTCCCACAGTGTCTCATGCCACACTCTGCCATGTGCCACTTTCAGGTCTCCTCACACTGCTGGTGTGTTTCCATTTTTTGTCATAGGGTGCTGGCAGATTACGGGCCTCCCCATAGCTGCTGCCAGGCCCCTAATCTGCCATGGGCCCCTATACCCCCCCTCCTCATGCTGCTGCCCAAGTCCAGAGTCTCTCATGGGTCCCCTGTACGGCCTCCCATTGCTGCTGTCTCCATCGCCACACACTCTGCCATGTGCCACTTTCAGGTCTCCTCACACACTGCTGGTGTGTGTTCCAATTTTTTGACATAGGGTGCTGGCAGATTACGGGCCTCCCATAGCTGCTGCCAGGCCAGGCCCCTAATCTGCCATGGGCCCCTATACCGCCTCCTCATGCTGCTGCCAGGTCCAGAGTCTGTCATCATGGGTCCCTGTACGGCCTCCCATTGCTGCTGTCTCCATCGCCACACACTCTGCCATGTGCCACTTTCAGGTCTCCTCACACACTGCTGTGTGTGTTCAATTTTTTTTCATATAGGGTGCTGGCAGATTACGGGCCTCCCATAGCTGCTGCCAGGCCCCTAATCTGCCATGGGCCCCTATGTACCGCCTCCTCATCATGCTGCCAGGTCCTCAGCTGCTGCCAGGTCCATTGCAGTGTCTCATGCCATGTGCCACTTTCAGGTCTCCTCACACTGCTGGTGTGTGTTCCATTTTTTTGTCATAGGGTGCTGGCAGATTACGGGCCTCCCATAGCTGCTGCTGCCCCTAGCCCCTAATCTGCCATGGGCCCCTATATACCGCCTCCTCATGCTGCTGCCAAGTCCAGAGTCTCTCATGGGTCCCTGTACGGCCTCCCATTGCTGCTGTCTCCATCGCCACACTCTGCCATGTGCCACTTTCAGGTCTCCTCACACACTGCTGGTGTGTTCAATTTTTTGACATAGGGTGCTGGCAGATTACGGGCCCCTCCTGCCATAGCTGCTGCCCCTAGGCCCCTAATCTGCCATGGGCCCCTGTACCGCCTCCCATGCTGCTGTCTCCAGGTCCACAGTGTCTCATGCCATGTGCCACTTTCAGGTCTCCTCACACTGCTGGTGTGTTTCCATTTTTTGTCATAGGGTGCTGGCAGATTACGGGCCTCCCATAGCTGCTGCCAGGCCCCTAATCTGCCATGGGCCCCTATACCGCCCTCCTCCTCCTCATGCTGCTGCCAAGGTCCAGAGTCTCTCATGGGTCCCTGTACGGCCTCCCATTGCTGCTGTCTCCATCGCCACACTCTGCCATGTGCCACTTTCAGGTCTCTCTCACACTGCTGCTGTGTGTTCCATTTTTTGACATAGGGTGCTGGCAGATTACGGGCCTCCCATAGCTGCTGCTGCCAGGCCCCTAATCTGCCATGGGCCCCTATACCGCCCTCCTCATGCTGCTGCCAGGTCCAGAGTCTCTCATGGGTCCCTGTACGGTCCTCCCATTGCTGCTGTCTCCATCGCCACACTCTGCCATGTGCCACTTTCAGGTCTCCTCACACACTGCTGGTGTGTTCAATTTTTTTTGACATAGGGTGCTGGCAGATTACGGGCCTCCCATAGCTGCTGCCAGGCCCCTAATCTGCCATGGGCCCCTATATACCGTACCTCATGCCTCCAGGTCCAGCTGCATGCCAGGTCCATTGCTGCTGTCCCTCATCCTCCTGTCTCATCGCCATGTGCCATGTGCCACTTTCAGGTCTCCTCACACACTGCTGGTGTGTTTCCATTTTTTTGTCATAGGGTGCTGGCAGATTACGGGCCTCCCATAGCTGCTGCCAGGCCCCTAATCTGCCATGGGCCCCTATACCGCCTCCTCATGCTGCTGCCAAGTCCAGAGTCTCTCATGGGTCCCTGTACGGCCTCCCATTGCTGCTGTCTCCATCGCCACACACTCTGCCATGCCATGTGCCACTTTCAGGTCTCCTCACACTGCTGGTGTGTGTTCCATTTTTTGACATAGGGTGCTGGCAGATTACGGGCCTCCCATAGCTGCTGCCAGGCCCCTAATCTGCCATGGGCCCCTATACCGCCTCCTCATGCTGCTGCTGCAAGGTCCAGAGTCTCTCATGGGTCCCTGTACGGCCTCCCATTGCTGCTGTCTCCATCGCCACACTCTGCCATGTGCCACTTTCAGGTCTCCTCACTCACACTGCTGGTGTGTTCAATTTTTTGACATAGGGTGCTGGCAGATTAGCAGATTACGGGCCTCCCATAGCTGCTGCCAGGCCCCTAATCTGCCATGGGCCCCTATATACCCCCTCCTCATGCTGCTGCCCAAGTCCAGAGTCTCTCATGGGTCCCTGTACGGCCTCCCATTGCTGCTGTCTCCATCGCCACACTCTGCCCATGTGCCACTTTCAGGTCTCCTCACACACTGCTGGTGTGTTCCATTTTTTGACATAGGGTGCTGGCAGATTACGGGCCTCCCATAGCTGCTGCCAGGCCCCTAATCTGCCATGGGCCCCTATACCGCCTCCTCCTCATGCTGCTGCCAGGTCCAGAGTCTCTCATGGGTCCCTGTACGGCCTCCCATTGCTGCTGTCTCCATCGCCACACTTGCATGTGCCACTTTCAGGTCTCCTCACACTGCTGGTGTGTTCCATTTTTTGTCATAGGGTGCTGGCAGATTACGGGCCTCCCATAGCTGCTGCCAGGCCCCTAATCTGCCATGGGCCCCTATACCCGCCTCCTCCTCCTCATGCTGCCAAGTCCCAGTCCAGATCTCTCATGGGTCCCTGTACGGCCTCCCCATTGCTGCTGTCTCCATCGCCACACTCTGCCATGTGCCACTTTCAGGTCTCCTCACACACACTGGTGTGTTCCAATTTTTTGACATAGGGTGCTGGCAGATTACGGGCCTCCCATAGCTGCTGCCAGGCCCCTAATCTGCCATGGGCCCCTGTACCGCCTCCTCCTCCTCATGCTCTGCCAGGTCCCACAGTGTCTCATGCCATGTGCCACTTTCAGGTCTCCTCACACTGCTGGTGTGTTTCCATTTTTTGTCATAGGGCTGCTGGCAGATTACGGGCCTCCCATAGCTGCTGCCAGGCCCCTAATCTGCCATGGGCCCCTATACCGCCTCCTCATGCTGCTGCCAAGTCCAGAGTCTCTCATGGGTCCCTGTACGGCCTCCCATTGCTGCTGTCTCCATCGCCACACTCTGCCATGTGCCACTTTCAGGTCTCCTCACACACTGCTGGTGTGTTCAATTTTTTGACATAGGGTGCTGGCAGATTACGGGCCTCCCATAGCTGCTGCCAGGCCCCTAATCTGCCATGGGCCCCTATACCCGCCCCTCATACCGCCAAGTCCAGAGTCTCTCATGGGTCCCCTGTACGCCTCCCATTGCTGCTGTCCACATGCCTCATGCCATGTGCCACTTTCAGGTCTCCTCACACTGCTGGTGTGTTCCATTTTTTGTCATAGGGTGCTGGCAGATTACGGGCCTCCCATAGCTGCTGCCAGGCCCCTAATCTGCCATGGGCCCCTATACCGCCTCCTCATGCTGCTGCCAAGTCCAGAGTCTCTCATGGGTCCCTGTACGGCCTCCCATTGCTGCTGTCTCCATCGCCACACTCTGCCATGTGCCACTTTCAGGTCTCCTCACACACACTGCTGGTGTGTTCAATTTTTTTGACATAGGGTGCTGGCAGATTACGGGCCTCCCATAGCTGCTGCCAGGCCCCTAATCTGCCATGGGCCCCTGTACCCCTCCTCATGCCTCCTCATGCTGCTGCCAGGTCCACAGTGTCTCATGCCATGTGTGCCACTTTCAGGTCTCCTCACACTGCTGGTGTGTTCCATTTTTTTTGTCATAGGGTGCTGGCAGATTACGGGCCTCCCATAGCTGCTGCCCAGGCCCCTAATCTGCCATGGGCCCCTATACCGCCTCCTCATGCTGCTGCCAAGTCCAGAGTCTCTCATGGGTCCCTGTACGGCCTCCCATTGCTGCTGGTCTCCATCGCCACACTCTGCCATGTGCCACTTTCAGGTCTCCTCACACACTGCTGGTGTTTCAATTTTTTGACATAGGGTGCTGGCAGATTACGGGCCTCCCATAGCTGCTGCCAGGCCCCTAATCTGCCATGGGCCCCTGTACCGCCTCCTCATGCTGCTGCCAGGTCCACAGTGTCTCATGCCATGTGCCACTTTCAGGTCTCCTCACACTGCTGGTGTGTTTCCATTTTTTGTCATAGGGTGCTGGCAGATTACGGGCCTCCCATAGCTGCTGCCAGGCCCCTAATCTGCCATGGGCCCCTATACCGCCTCCTCATGCTGCTGCCAAGTCCAGAGTCTCTCATGGTCCCTGTACGGCCTCCCATTGCTGCTGTCTCCATCGCCACACTCTGCCATGTGCCACTTTCAGGTCTCCTCACACACTGCTGGTGTGTTCAATTTTTTGTCACATAGGGTGCTGGCAGATTACGGGCCTCCCATAGCTGCTGCCAGGCCCCTAATCTGCCATGGGCCCCTGTACCGCCTCCTCATGCTGCTGCCAGGTCCACAGTGTCTCATGCCATGTGCCACTTTCAGGTCTCCTCACACTGCTGGTGTGTTCACATTTTTTGTCATAGGGTGCTGGCAGATTACGGGCCTCCCATAGCTGCTGCCAGGCCCTAATCTGCCATGGGCCCCTATATACCGCCTCCTCATGCTGCTGCCAAGTCCAGAGTCTCTCATGGGTCCCTGTACGGCCTCCCATTGCTTGCTGCTGTCTCCATCGCCACACTCTGCCATGTGCCACTTTCAGGTCTCCTCACACACTGCTGGTGTGTGTGTTCAATTTTTTGACATAGGGTGCTGGCAGATTACGGGCCTCCCATAGCTGCTGCCAGGCCCCTAATCTGCCATGGGCCCCTATACCACCTCCCATCCTCATGCTGCTGCCAGGTCCAGAGTCTCTCCATGGGTCCCTGTACGGTCCTCCCCATTGCTGCTGTCTCCATCGCCACACTCTGCCATGTGCCACTTTCAGGTCTCCTCACACACTGCTGGTGTGTTCAATTTTTTTGACATAGGGTGCTGGCAGATTACGGGCCTCCCATAGCTGCTGCCAGGCCCCTAATCTGCCATGGGCCCTGCCTGTATGGGCCCCGTCCTCACCCCCCTCCTCATGCTGCTGCCAGGGTCCACAGTGTCTCATGCCATGTGCCACTTTCAGGTCTCCTCACACTGCTGGTGTGTTCCATTTTTTGTCATAGGGTGCTGGCAGATTACGGGCCTCCCATAGCTGCTGCCAGGCCCCTAATCTGCCATGGGCCCCTATACCCCGCCTCCTCATGCTGCTGCCAAGTCCAGAGTCTCTCATGGGTCCCTGTACGGCCTCCCATTGCTGCTGTCTCCATCGCCACACTCTGCCATGTGCCACTTTCAGGTCTCCTCACACACTGCTGGTGTGTTCAATTTTTTGACATAGGGTGCTGGCAGATTACGGGCCTCCCATAGCTGCTGCCCAGGCCCCTAATCTGCCATGGGCCCCTATACCCGCCTCCTCATGCTGCTGCCAAGTCCAGAGTCTCTCATGGGTCCCTGTACGGCCTCCCATTGCTGCTGTCTCCATCGCCACACTCTGCCATGTGCCACTTTCAGGTCTCCTCACACACACTGCTGGTGTGTTTCAATTTTTTGACATAGGGTGCTGGCAGATTACGGGCCTCCCATAGCTGCTGCCAGGCCCCTAATCTGCCATGGGCCCCTGTACCGCCTCCTCATGCTGCTGCCAGGTCCACAGTGTCTCATGCCATGTGCCACTTTCAGGTCTCCCACACACTGCTGGTGTGTTTCAATTTTTTGACATAGGGTGCTGGCAGATTACGGGCCTCCCATAGCTGCTGCCAGGCCCCTAATCTGCCATGGGCCCCTGTACCCGCCTCCTCATGCTGCTGCCAAGTCCAGAGTCTGTCATGGGTCCCCTGTACGGTCTCCCATTGCTGCTGTCTCCATCGCCACACTCTGCCATGTGCCACTTTCAGGTCTCCTCACACACTGCTGTGTGTGTGTTCAATTTTTTGACATAGGGTGCTGGCAGATTACGGGCCTCCCATAGCTGCTGCCAGGCCCCTAATCTGCCATGGGCCCCTGTACCGCCTCCTCCTCATGCTGCTGCCAGGTCCACAGTGTCTCATGCCATGTGCCACTTTCAGGTCTCCTCACACTGCTGGTGTGTTCCATTTTTTGTCATAGGGTGCTGGCAGATTACGGGCCTCCCATAGCTGCTGCCAGGCCCCTAATCTGCCATGGGCCCCTGTACCACCTCCTCATGCCTGCCTCATGTCTGCTCATGGGTCCAGGTCCACAGTGTCTCATGCCATGTGCCACTTTCAGGTCTCCTCACACTGCTGGTGTGTTCAATTTTTTGACATAGGGTGCTGGCAGATTACGGGCCTCCCATAGCTGCTGCCAGGCCCCTAATCTGCCATGGGCCCCTATACCCGCCTCCTCATGCTGCTGCCAAGTCCAGAGTCTGTCATGGGTCCCTGTACGGCCTCCCATTGCTGCTGTCTCCATCGCCACACCCTGCCATGTGCCACTTTCAGGTCTCCTCACACACTGCTGGTGTGTTCAATTTTTTGACATAGGGTGCTGGCAGATTACGGGGGCCCCATAGCTGCTGCCAGGCCCCTAATCTGCCATGGGCCCCTATACTACCGCCTCCTCATGCTGCTGCCAAGTCCAGAGTCTGTCATGGGTCCCTGTACGGCCTCCCATTGCTGCTGTCTCCATCGTCACACTCTGCCATGTGCCACTTTCAGGTCTCCTCACACACTGCTGGTGGTGTTCAATTTTTTGACATAGGGTGCTGGCAGATTACGGGCCTCCCATAGCTGCTGCCAGGCCCCTAATCTGCCATGGGCCCCTATATACCGCCTCCTCATGCTGCTGCCAAGTCCAGAGTCTCTCATGGGTCCCTGTACGGCCTCCTATTGCTGCTGTCTCCATCGCCACACTCTGCCATGTGCCACTTTCAGGTCTCCTCACACACTGCTGGTGTGTTCAATTTTTTGACATAGGGTGCTGGCAGATTACGGGCCTCCCATATAGCTGCTGCCAGGCCCCTAATCTGCCATGGGCCCCTATACCGCCTCCTCATGCTGCTGCCAAGTCCAGAGTCTGTCATGGGTCCCTGTACGGCCTCCCCATTGCTGCTGTCTCCATCGCCACACTCTGCCATGTGCCACTTTCAGGTCTCCTCACACACTGCTGGTGTGTGTTCCATTTTTTG